GGGGGAAGGGGATAGAGGGGTAGTGAATTGAGAACAGATTTGCTCTGGGTCTGGTCACCAAACCTGGAGCCTAGCCCCAGTCTAGACCATGAAATTACCCTGTCCTTCCTCTCTGCTGCTCCCTCATCTGGGCACATAGAAAGCTGGAGATCTTCAAGCTACTAAGGGGAGCAGAGTGAAGGTGTAAGCAGGGAGATGCAGCAATAAGCTCTGTCAAGATTTGCTGTCCATTGGTTACGTAGGCCACCAAAGCAGGCTGCCTCAGGTGACAACTTCCTTTTCAATGACCCTAGATTCAGAAATCAGTACACTTTTTCTTATGGAATCAGAGAGTATTTTAGGCTTTGCAGGCCAATTAGTTGGTGTTGGACTCTGCCTTAAAAGCAGCCAGAGGGTGTGGCTGTGTTCCAATAAAACTTTATCTACAAAAACAGATGGCCAGGCAGGCCAGTTTGCAAACTCCTGACTGGATGCTCATGTCAACCAGGTCTCTCGTTTATGGGAATGCCCCAAAGTCCAGCAATGTCCTCCACTATGGAAAGTCCCCCAAGCCACCCAAGCTGCCAGAACCCCCCCTCACTGGGAGTTCCTGCATTCACAATGGGCCCAGCATGAGGGGCCCATTGCTATGGGGAAATCTGACCTGGGAAGGAGCTCCCACCCCAGGGGGAGACAGGGGTCAAACTTACCTGCAAACTCCTGCCGCAAGGCCCGGGCGAAGGCCCTTCCCACCACCTGTGCCCCCATCACAATGATCTGGGCCAGGTACTTGGCCTGTGGGCAAAGCAGGCATCTGGTTAGCAGGCTGCAACCCCTGGAAATGGCTGCTGAGTGGTAAGGCCTCTGGAGGGTTGAGGTAATAAAGCACAGAACAGCAGCTACAGGCTTCTTTTTCTAATGAAAAGCTGCTTTGGGTGGCTTCAGGTAAGGGGGTAAACCTGAGTCTCCAGAGGCAGAAGGGGCTCTCCCTTGGCCTCTGGAAGAGGCAGACAGGAGCCAAGGCATAGTGGCTGCAGGGCCCTGAAACCACTGGCTTCAGGAATAATACTGTGGCCTCGAGTCAGAACCAGGGGCTGGTCCCAGACTCACCAGCCATCCAGACCAACGAGAGCACTTTCTGTGCTTCTGGAATTGGTTGGTCCAACCTTCATTCTACTGGTGAGGAAATTAGGAGCAATTCTAATTCTCCCAACACTATTCAATTGTACGCCATTCAACACAACACAGCAAAAACTGTACCTTCCAAAAGTGAAAGCCTATGAGGCGGGCATTTAGACAAACATATCAATGACCAAGTAATGAGGGAGAGCAGGGCTGTCATCTATTCCTCCACAGGCTCACTCATTGAGAGGCAACATTCAGACTACAAAGATAACACAGGCCCCTGCCCTTGGAGCTCCCACACCCACCAGGTCTTGCAGGGAAATCCTCCATGGCAGTGCTCCACCCTAAGACCATGTGGTTTCATGCACAATAGAGGCCAGCGGGGAGTCCCATTAAGCATGTGGACCAGAGGCATGGAGAGGCAATGCACAGAAACCCAGTATGAGATAGAGATATTGGAAGACAATGGCATTTCTACTGGGATGGGTTTTGAAGGGCAGGTAGAATTATGATGGGAACACTGGGGTTTCCTAGGCAGAGGGACCAGGGGGAGCCCAAACTGGGAGAAGGCATAAGAAATGTATGGGTAGCAGCCAGGAGCCCAGGGGACCAGGAAGGTGGCTGAGATGGGCAACTGTGTAGGTCTTACTGTGTACAGAGATTATGGATAGCCAGTACATGTGAAAGTGACCGTATGTATGAGATGGTACAAACCTGGGTATGTACAGGATGCCCGGGAACATGCTCACTGCAGGTCAACACTGTTCATGGGGCACATCAAAGTGGTTTCCCTTGTTCTTTGTACTTTTCTGTCATTACATTTTCTATCAGTCAACAAGTATAGACTAGGCCAGGGTGCTAGGTAGCATGCCAAACACATTCTATTTATTGTACCATTTAATCCCAACAACTCAAGCCACTGAGGAACAAAAAACATTCATTTTTTAGCAACATTTAAGCCCTGGGCAAATTACTCAACCTCTCTGAATTTCAATAACAAAGACACTAAGGCACAGAGGTATTTGGTGACCAGCCCAAGGACACACAGCTAGTACTCAGGGGAAGGTGGGCAGGGATCCCAAAGCCAATGCTATCAGTCATGGCATCCCTAGGCTGCCCATCTCACACAGGGTCCTGGAGTCTGCAGGGAGGGTGACAAAGCAACCCAGAAGCCAGAGAGTCTTGTCAGATTTCAATGGAATCCAGACTTCAAAACTGGCGTTTCGCCTCCATGGAACCTGCTCTTCCCTAATGGCAGGGCAGGACATGAGTCTGGGCTATTGTTGGGAATTAATAAATGGAAATGGGTCTGGATTTCACGAGTGGGTGGAAAGTTCATAAGCCTCATATTTCACACCAGAAACCAAAGCTCAGTGAAGACTCCTGTGATCAAGGCTGCAGCCACCTACCTTGCAGGTGTAAAGACAAATAATGGACCTACTGCTGATTGGGAAGCCTCATCTGAGCCCCCCAAGCCCACCTAGAGCCACTCAAGTGGGACAGGAGGCTCTGGGATGAATTGCTGGTCCTGTCTGAGTGACAGAGAGGCTGACAGTCTATACTAGGTGACTCCAGAGGGTTCCTTCGGCCTGGCACACCCTCAACCCTCAGAACACACCTTCCTCTCCTGCCACATGCCTGAGTGCAACCCCATCATACCACCTTGTATTAACTGGTTTACTTCTCTGCCCAGGGTAGTAACTGTTGCTAAAAAATGAATGTTAAGAACAAGATTGTAACCAGGCAACTCCTCCAACCATCCCCTGCAGGCTTTAAACCAAAGTGGCATGGTGGCCCCATGGTTCAGGCTGCCAGAGCTCCATGGCTGTGGGGAAGGCTGGTCTGGTCTTCAAAGTTTCAGAGGACACCCTGTGACCAAGGGAGCTGCCTAGTCGGCTGATTGAGGCTACCAAGGTTCCTGTGACAGCCATCTCCCAGGGGAGGCAGTGTGGTATAATGGTTATACAAGCAAGCTTTGGGATCACTTGTGTGCAAACCCCAGCTGTGTGCCCTGGACCAGTTCTCAACCTCCCTGAGCCTCAGGTTCCTCAATAACTATGGGGGTGCCACAGGGGTTAAATGAGGTAATGTTTGTAAAGTGCCTGGCACAGAGCCCAATGACACCGTAGGTGCTCAATAAATGTTGGTTTTCATTTATTACTATTTTTGGTTCACAAAACTTGACAGTGGCCAATCATAATGGATTTACAAAGCTTCTCCCATTTGATAGATTCTCTAATTACTCAGGGGAGAAGGCTGCACAAAGCCGGGCCACATTCCCAGGAATCTCAGAAGCAATGCGAAAGAGTAAGAAATGCTGCTTTAGAATTGGGCTGACATCATCTGAAATCCCAACTTTGCTTCTTGTTAGCTGTGTGGCACTGGGCAAATTATTCAACCTCTCTGAATTTCAGTTTTCTCATCTGCAAAATAGGGAGAATAACACCCTCTTCACAGGAGAGCTGTAAGGCACTCAAGAGGCAGTACACGTAAGACCAAGAGGACGGACAGACAGTGGCCGTTCCAGAGCAGCTCAAAAGCTGCTTTTGCTTCTGGATTAGATACTACTTGATGTTGAATGGTCTAGAGACCAGGGGTGTAGCCAAGCCTCTCATCCACCTATTCAACACCCAGACACCTGTTGAGCACCAGCTGTCGGTCAACTCTGCTCAGAGCTGAGGATTGATAGGCAGCAGAGTTCTGCAAGCTATAGCTACCATGGGTGATGAGGACAGCCACTGGCTGTGGCCTCTCCCAGAAAGCCCATAGTCCACACAGACATTTGGGCCTGAAGACCCTGGGCCAGAGCAACTGACACAGCATCCAACTTCAGGCGAAGCTGACAGTCAAGGAGCAGAGGTCAAAGCCATAGGATTCTGAACCTGTGACCCACTGTGGACGCACCACTCATGCCTTCTCATCTGGGAAGCATCACGGCTTAATGTAGGGCCAAAGCCCTGCATCTGGGGCAAAGGAGGACAGTAGCGTAGGGGTCAGGGAGCACTCAGGAATGTGGTTTATCCCACATCAGGTGCATCAAGACGAGAGCCTGGCTTTCCGACAGGCCAGTGTGCAATGTTTCCTTGAAGGAACGATTCCAGGTCCTCAGGCTGGTGGGCAGAGACAGCCACTGAGATTCACCCCCTTCTCTCAAGGATGCACTGAGATAGGAAGGGGGCCTTGTTCACACAGGGCCCCTGCAAACAGTTGCAACTGGGCAGGAGGGAGTTGAATCTGCCAAGGTATATGCAGGCCCAGCCTGTGGCTGGCCCAGCAGGTGTCTGATACATATTTGAATGAATATGACACTTAACCAAGTTGCTATCAGCTCTGCTTTGGCCAAAATGAAGTCTCACAATCTCTAAGCCCCCAGACAGAATTTCCAAATGCCTCCCACACCCTCTGCTGAAGGAGGGCTCTAGCCATCCCCCGACAATACAAACAATTCTCCACCAACACCACCTGCAAATTAAGTCCACACCCCCAGCTGACCAGCTACAAATGACTTCTAAGGTTTCTTCTGGCCTCACCTCTCTCCACCACCCACTCCTAGAGCAGCTCTCTACTTCTTTACCTGAAATCTCTGCAGCTCTGAATTCACATACCATACAAGCCACCCTTCTAAAGTGCACAATTCAGCCTGGCTAGCGTGGCTCAGCAGTTGAGCATTAACCTATGACCTAGGAGATAGAGGTTCCATTCCCGGGAAGGGGACATGCCTGGGTTTTGGGCTTAATCCCCAGCAGGAGGCATGCAGGAGGCAGCAGATCAATGACTCTCATCATTGATGTTTCTCTCTCTCTCTCCCTTCCTCTCTCTGAAATCAATAAATAAAGTCAAGACTTAGTCACATCCCCCTCAGCCCCCAAGTGAAACTGAGGGCTCATCACAGGACTCAACAAATGGCAGTGACTACTACAAGGCAGGAATAATGTAAAGGAAAATGTGGAGTCTCAGGACACGGAAGGAGCTGGGATCAAGATGTCTCTGACACTCGTGGAATGAGTGACCCTGGAGAAGTCAAACACGCAGAGCTTCAGGTTCCTTCTCTGTGAAACGGGGACAGTGAGAGCACTAACTTCATACGAATGAAATGAAAACCTACATAAAGCCTCAGCTCAGGGGCTGGCACTTGTAAGCTCTTATGTTATACTTATCATTTTCAGTTAAGAAGTGGCTCCCCAAACCCTGCATCAGTCACTTTGAGACTGGGGGTAGGGCTCAGGACCCTGCATTTAAAAAAATTATTTTAATTTATTGATCTGAGAGAGAGGAAGAGAGAGAGGGGCAGAGACAGAGAGATCTGTTGTCCCACCCATTCATGCACTCATTGGCTGACTCTTGTAATGTGCCCTGACTGAGATCGAACCACCAACCTTGGCCTATCTGGGCGACGCTCTAACCAACTGAGCTACCCGGCCAGGGAAGGACCCTTCATTTTTAAAGGGGCCTTAAGTGACCTGACACAGCCAGTGTGGCCCAGGTCTGAGGACTTGCTCTAGGTGCCAATGGTATCGCAGAAACGCTGTTTTCAGTGTCGCAAGGCCTGGTTCAAGCCCAGCCACTTCTGCCACTTTATTGGGAAAGTCTCAGAGCCTGTTTCGCCAGCTTTCAAACGGGGGCAATAGGACGACACCAACAACTAGCTCCGGACACAGCAGGGGCTCGTGTGCCGGGCTAGGCTCCACCTCAGGCTGCTAGCACATGGGCCGGCGCACGCGGCGACCGCACCTGCTGGGCCCTTTCCGACCGGCCAGGCCCCCCTGTCTTCCAGCCAGGCGGCTCTCCCCAGCTCCGAGGCCGCCAGCGCCCGCCCAGGTACCCCCTGGTGCGGCGCCCTCCCCTCGCTACCCGCCGGGCAGGTAAGGGGAACCGAGCGCCCGCAGCCAGGCAGGAACTCGCAGACCCCGCCCCGGCCCCGGCGCCAAAACGGCCTCCCTTCCCCCGGGCAGCCCCGACTCAGCCCTCACCATGGCGGCCGCTCTGTCTCGGGGGCGCGGGCTCGGTCTTCCAGGCCCCGCGGCCCGGGCTCAAGGGCGGCCGGGGGTCAAAGGTCAAGGGAAGCTACCGAGGGCGCGTGCGCGAAGCCGCGCTGGGCATGCGCATAGCTTTGATACAGAGGGGCGAAGTGTGGTTGGTTGCGCTGGAGACTTGGGATAAGTTGGGGGCGGGTCCTACCTCGCGCCTGGACTCCGAAGGCAACCAGGGGCGGGTGATGGGCGGGTGANGGTGATGGGCGGGTGATGGGCGGGTGATGGGCGGTCCCAGGACCCTCAGACCCACGCGCTTTACCTGGTGCGCTAGGTAGGAGCCGCAGTCTAAGTATGTCAGAAGCGGGCCGATTTCTCCCCTTAATTTTGTCAAAGTATGTGGGACTAAAAGATATGCAATATATATACATCACACGAACATAAGGAGCGCGATACTAAATTCTCACAAATATTTAAGAAAAGGGAAACTCCAAAATAGGGCTCATTCCCTCCTCCAATTCTTTGCTCAAATGTCACCTCAATGAGGCCAACGTTTTTTAATAACGGATATATTGAGAGAGAATTCACACACCAGTTTATCTTTTTTAAGTGTACAAGTCAGTGCTTTTTAGTATATTCAGTTACTAGCTCCAGAGCATTTTCATTACCCCCCCCCCAAAAAAAACACCCCCTCACCATTAGCAGTTACTGCCCATTTCCACTACCCTTCTCCACCACGAATCCACTCTGTCTCTGTGGATTTGTGTGTTTTGGAAGTTTCATGTAAATGAAATCATTCTATATGTGGCCTTTTGTGTCTCGCTTAAACCTTCATTCTATTTTTTTAAAATATGCCTTTATTGATTTCAGAGGGAGGGAGAGGGAGATAGATGTTAGAAACATCAATGATGAGAGTCATTGATCGGCTGCCTCCTGCACGCCCCCTACTGGGGATCCAGCGGGGGACCTGGGCATGCGCCCTGACCGGGAATCGAACCTCAATCTCCTGGATCACAGGTCGATGCTCAACACCGGAGCCACACCAGCTGGGCTAAACCTCCATTCTTAATCCCCCTTTTTACCAAAGCTGTAATTGTAATTGGAAAATTGTAACCCACCCCACTGTTCTTTTGGCATTGGTTCTGTAAATGCTGAATCTTGACTAATATGTAGCTTGTAGATAAACAACATGTTTGTGTAAGAATCCTAGGAACTAACTTCAGAAGATACAGGCTCCAACCTTCAGGCATCCCAGTTCCGGGAGATTTGCTGATCTTCAAATGTAGAACCAGAATGACAAAGAACCAGGATGACAGCAACCAGGATGACACACACTAGACCATCATTTGACCAGTTTTGAGGTCCTTATTGGAATGGACAGGGCTGGACTGCACATAGAGAACTTTTCAACCCCTTCCCTTGATTCCTTTGTTCTGCTTTGCCTCTCCCTCCTTATAAAAGCCTCTGCCTGCACTGAGATATTGAGATGGGCTTTGCGACAACAGTCCTCCATCTCCTCAGGTGAACGGCACTTGAATAAAACCTCTCCCCTTTTTCACCAGCATCTGCCTAATGAGTTTGGTTTTTGTGGTGGCAGGCAGTTGAACTTGGGTTCTGGTTAGTTTTGGAGAGTCAGCCAGGAGGTTGTGGGACCCCCACCCTTGGTAAGGCCCTGGACTTTGGAGGGGGTTCCCCAGGCTGCCTGTGGCTGGCCTGTGAGAGAACTTGGGAGTCACTAGCAGCTGCCAAGTGATTTTACTTGGGGAATGTCCTTTGTTCTCTCTCAATGCTGGTTGCCTGCTATGTCTAGCTGGTGAAAGGAAACAGGTCTTTGGGGAGTTGAGAGACTCCCAAACTGGGTAATCTCTGGTCAAACCATTTGGGATTCTGTAGGAATCAATAGGTGCCACATGGCAGTAAACACAGGTCAGTGACTAAGAAAAATCCCAGTTCCCAGGTGAGGGATTTGGTTGGAATGCTCTTTTGGTTTTGGTATTTGGATTTTTGGGTATTGTTTGCTTTTCTTGTTGCCTATATCTGTGGGTTGTTCTTTTTTTTATCTGTGGGTTGTTCTTTTTTTTTTTTTTTAAATATATCTTTATTGATTTCAGAGAGAGGAAAGGAGAGGGAGAGAGAGTGATAGAGACATCAATGATCAGAGAGTCATTGATCAAGCCCACAACCCAGGCATGTGCCCTGACCGGGAATCGAACCCGGATCGCCTGGATCCTAGGTCGATGCTCAACCACTGAGCCACGCCCGGCCTGGCTCTGTGGGTTGTTCTTAATAGATGTTTTTAATTTGGAATATTGTTGCTTAATTTGCGTAGGACTCATACTGCTATATAGTTGCTTGCTCCTTCCTGTTTGTCTAATTGTTATTACTACTTTGCAATTGGAGTTGTTTTACCAAAGTTCTGATAAATAGGATAAGGTCTCTTACCTACAAGCTTTCATGCAGTTACATAGTAAGAATTCTAGTCAGAGGGATCTAAACTGATGGTTCAAAGAGGGGTAAAAGGTCTCATCCCTCCCCCAGCTAGTAAAAGAAAAATGTAATGAAATAAGTCTTTTAAAACACTTTAAATCTTCCTCCTGGAGGTCCAGGAGCTACAGCGGTCCCAGGAACAATGGGGAAATTAATACCACCCCAGAACCCTGCGGGCTGTGGAAGCAGCTGGGCCAGTGCCCTATCTCAATATAAAAGAAGAAAAAAAAAAGGGGACTTTTAAATTCAAGCCTCTGAAGGCCCAGGAGCTGCTGCAGTCATGGGAACAAGCCTAGGAGCCTGCAATCTCCCCCACCCCCTGCCTTTTCTCCATCATCCTAGGAGTTGTCAAGGTTATGTCATCTCTGTTAATGCCTCTCAAAAAATTTAAGCGTATTTTCCAATGGAAAAAAAGCCTGCTTCTGAAAGTTATGCAATGTGGTAATAAATTTGCCAATCTAAAAAATGCTAATTGCTTGCTTTTAGTTGTCACTAAAAATTAAGGTTTCTAAGGATTGAGAATTCTAATTAAGTCAAAAGGAAACTACATGGTTTTGGTAATATAGAATTGAAAGTAGGTTGTTCTAAAGTTGGTTATTTCTGAATGAGTTAAAAAGAAATAAACTGAAAGGGCCTAGGAAAGTCACAAAGGGTTCATGTAAGCTGCAGGTTCATGTAATTCTGTGTAAGTTGAAGAATTGTGTAGAGGAAAGGAAGCAAAAAGAGAAAGAACTAAGGAAGTATAAAAGGTGAGAAAAGATAAAAGATAGGGACATACATATTACAGGAAAAAAGAGAAATACTCAACAAGGAAATGGGAATGGGAAAAAAAGAAATAAGAAAAAGGTGCATAGTTAGGTAGTAAAATGGAGTAGCAATTTTATTGACAAATGAAAAGACCAGGAAGCTCTCTTTGATTTTTCAAAACCAACTGTAATTTTCCCACAGGAATCCCATGTACAACTGATAGTGGGGAACAAATTGACTTCATAGTCTGATATACTTGCACTTGTAATTCTGACTTACCTTAAAATGTTACAAAATAAGCAAATTGCATTATAATTGGATCTATGACCATGTTACTTTAAGTATTTTTATTTATTTATTTTTTAAAATATATCTTTATTGATTTCAGAGAGAGGAAAGGAGAGGGAGAGAGAGAGACAGAAACATCAATGATGAGAGAGTCATTGATTGGCTGCCTGCTGCACGCCCCTGACTGGGGACCGAGCCCGCAACCCGGGCATGTGCCCCGACCGGGAATTGAACCCTGATCGCCTGGATCCTAGGTCTATGCTCAACTGCTGAGCCACGCCCGGCCGGGCTTAAGTATTTTTAGTCCTTTAGAGACAGTCACTGTTTTACTCTGATGAACTTGCAAAAATGTTACATCTTCTGACTTATTCTAAAATATGAATTTTGGGAGAGTAAGTTTTCAGATCATACCTTTAAAAGAGACACACAATTATAGAACTCTAAGGAATAACTGGATTCATAGAAATACTGGTAATCTGCCCGGCTGGGCGTGGCTCAGCGGTTGAGCATCGACGTAGGATCCAGGAGATTGGGGTTCGATTCCCAGTCAGGGCACATGCCAGGGTTGGGGGCTAGGCAGCTGATCAATGACGTTTCTCTCTCCCTCTTCCTTCCCTCTCTTTGCAATCAATAAAGATATGTTTAAAAAAAATTTTAAAAAAGAAAAAAAGAAATACTGGTAATCAGGAGAAACAAAAATTAATTATGGGACTGAATAAACTGAAGATAATTATTATTCTTATGACTTTGTTCAAAAGATTGCTGAGTTTTTAAAAAACCTGTTTGTTTTCTTAGAGCAATTTCATAAATTTTACCCTGATAAGCAATTGATAAAGCATTTATATTTTCCACTGTACTTGATCCCTCCAGAATTTAAAAACTCTTAATGAGTATTATTTTCATGGCAATATGTTTATTTGCATGAATCCAATAGGAATCTGATTTTTTCATAACAGGACAAGTAAAGCCAGTGCCCGATTGTTTTATTAACCAAGACTTTGACTGGAATGTCATGTTTGAGAAAGGCATGCCTAGACACTGGATGTCAGCAAAAAAGCTTTAAGGAATGAAGATTGATTCTGAAACCTGTAAAAGCCCCTTGGAAAAAATGTCCTGGTACCTTGCTTATTTATATGGTTCATGGCAGTCTTTCCAGGTAAGAGATGAAGGAAAGAGCCGCAAAACATTTTGGGGACATTGAGAACTTGAGGAATTTACCCAAACCTATGGGTATTGCAGGCAAAGCCTCATGGCAACTGTGTGGCTTGGCTTCTGCACCCTGAGCAAACTTTCTTGTGAGATTCCAGCAAAATTTTTAAAGCCTATATGATCAATTGCTATTCCTATTGTGTTTATGCAAATAATCAGGCCAAATTGAAACTGGGCTTAGTATAGTAAATGAATTAATCTTAACTTGGCTCTTTGATAAAAATGAGGATGATTTTAGGAGAAAAGTTATGTTTCAATGGAATCTGTAATACACAGTTATGAATATTAGACTCTAGTTCAGTTGATCATCTATAAAATTTTATTTTTCACCTATGAACTAGACTGGATCCTGATTTTTTCCAGTTTTCTGAAATATTGTTTACAATCTCCTAATTTCCATGGAAATTG